CGGCCTCGATCTCCTCCACAGGCGGCGCATCCGAGTCCGAGTAATCGGGGTCTTCTAGGGCTTCCGGGTTCGTGATCGTGGCTTTCGGTTCGACCCGTAGCTTTCCGTCCCAGCCGTTTTTGTCCTTCATGTTGAGCGATGGGGTGTGGGCGTGTGTGGGCGTGTGTGTGTGTGTGTGTGTGTGTGTGTGTGTGTGTGTGTGTGTGTGTGTGTGTGTGTGTGTGTGTGTAGGGTGGTCCTGGGAAAAAAAAGTGGTTTGGTGGTGATGCAGTTGGAGGCGGGGAGATTGGGTATGACGCTGCCAAGAAATATCAGGAGATCGTCGGAGCTTTGGATGGAGGCTCAAGGAAGCGGACACAGCCTTGCAGGGGAAATATGTATGTATATATGTATGAAAGAGTTCAGGACGGGGCTAATCGGGGAATACTCACATGGGTTGACACGATGTAGTGCGGACAAAAGCGGGATGCGATGGAAGATTTGGAGATGACCGACCGATCGGTCATTATTGCCGCGGCGTGATCTCAGCCCGCCTTCGCCCGTTAAGAGGCGATCCACTCTACGCTGTAGTTTAGATGCTCGATATATCGCCAATAATTCTGCCCATTATACGTTACCGCCTGTTTTACTCGTTACTTCAGATCTGTACTACTCTGGAAATCGGCCGTCTCGTGAAATGGTCAATTCAAAACTACTTAAACACGGGACAAGCTGGATGGTGGAGGCGGACGCTTTTATGTACAGCACGCACGCCCAATCAGTACATATACATTGCAAAGTCCGATCCCATGTAAGTCTGGAACCGTTCAGACTATGCGTGTACCAGAAGCAGCGACAGGCGCTTGAGACATGAATCAAAATGCCACGCGCTGGGGAGTCTCCAAAAAATAGACCATGGCGAACCAATGACAAAAACAACGCTGGGTTTTGGGGTTCACATCTTCGGGCACAAAGAGACTAGGAAAATAACCAGGACGGCGGGTCGAGCCTCTTATGGGCTGCATGTTAAGCAAAAAGAACAAAATGGGGACGATGAAAGGAATCAAAAGTAGAAAGAGACAAATGAAAGAAAAGAGAGAATGTAAATCGGGGAGCGTATACATGAGATCAGCAAAATTTTGGCTGATGACCAAGACTGACGCCTGCGGTATGCAACAGGAAAGAAAACTTTAAACACTAGGAAACAAGACTGGCGGGGGTAATCTGGTATCTGCTCGCTGGGAGCGCAAGAACATGGCCGGTGCTCGGAAGAAAAAACGGTGCGAATGACATGGGGATAAAGGCAAAAAGATGATGATGGGGAGGAAAAAGTTAAGGAAAACACATCTTCACTGTGGAACTGCCGCGAGCGTTCAGATCCCAGACGAAGCTGGATTGAGCTGCCGGGACGGTCTGGCTGCTCGACACGGCAGACGTTCCATGCGTATAGTTGATCAAAAATCAGATGACTCTTTCTTTTGAAAACCGAGTGGACCCGCAAGGTGAAGATAAGCATGCTGTAATGCAAATGCCAGAAAAACTAGAGTTACAGGCATCACAATGTAATGTCGAGAACCAGACTAACGTCTTTCACTTGTGCCCCGGCAAGGTCTTCGAGGACGGGAATCAGATCGAGAAGCTCGTTATCGTGGGCGTCAGAGAACCAGCTGCTGATGGGTATCGCATGTTGAGGGTGGAAGATATACGAAGTTGGAGAATTATCGATGATAATCGTATCTCGTAGGTCGCGGCCTACTTGAGAGAGATCCTAACCAGGGATCAGCAAACAATTCACGCAAGACAATGTACATTGAGTGGAACAAACCTTGACATAGTTGCCTTGATGGTTATAGCAACTATCCCTGAACAGTCGGTGGTGGACAACGTTGTGAATATCTAGCTGATCCAGCAGAGGATCACCGTACTAATGAAGCATGAGCGAATGCGTAGCCGATAATTCTTATTTTGGAATAACTCACCTTCGACACAGAAGCAGTAAAGACAACCACTTCATACAACTCACCCACCCTTTTCATGAATTGGTCGACACCAGGTCTTTTTATAACGTAGATGTTGTGATATTGACCTTCAATCTCCACGGGAATGGTAAAATCCGCGCGTTCAAGAACCTGAACATAGGTTAGTCTAACACTGGGTTGATGAGAAACTGAGGATGGCGGACCTTGAAACTACTGTGAACCAACGTCTCGTCCAAATCGAGAACCAAGCATTTCCTGTCCCGCAGATGGGGAAGAGGTGGCGGCAAGAGGAATTGCTGTTGCGTCTCCTCTAGCATTGTATCGGCGTGGTGTCTAGATGGGCCCGTCGGCGGAGGCAATTCAGCTGGAATTACTGTCGCCTCCTCGTCGTGTGAAGTATACTTCTCGTCGTCATAGCTATTTTCGGACGCCGGGGGCTTAGGCAATTCATCCAGCTCTATAGGAGCAGTCGGAGCATCCTGAGACTTTTCAGTGAGGGGAGAGATCGCTTGCTCCTCTGTTTTCTGAGCGGGCTCCTCCGCTTCGCTGGCAACAGCGCTTGCTTCGGCGGTCGTAGTGGAAGGTTGAATACTCTGGCCTACACCAAGCCCCTGTGATTCAGCACTGTCCTGTGGCAAAATCGGTACTTTCTCTGTCTCTGCCGCACCCGAAGGTACCGTTGCACCATCGAGCTGAGCGCCCTGCTCGGAAGTAGTCACAGTGCGCTCTTCGTCCACTTGAGACATGGACTGGTTCGATGTCACAGTCATGTTGGGTTTCTCATCCCGGTAGTAGCTGGGGTCTTTGGATTCCGCGGTGCTCGAATCACCAGCATTGGTGTCAGCCTTCTCCGGAGTGGCCTGGGTGTGGGGAACCGATGGCTGTCTGGATGTCCTCTTCGCTGGGATGGCAGGGTCCTCCGAATCATCGCTGGGCGAGGAACAACAGCTCAAGAAGGCGAACAACCTATACGAGACCTTGCTTCTCCTCTCTGGCTTAGCCGGATCACGCAAGTCAGGGCTTGCCGACTTGTCTTCCTCCATACTCGCCCCCTCCTGGTTTTGCCGACGCGACCTCATACTGCTACCTCTGCTCCGGTCCCTACGACCCTTGAATATGCTTCTTTTCGAACCGCGAAGAGTATTCTCGGAGTCATCGTGAGCAGTGTCTTGACTCTTGTCCAGCGTAGATTGTCGATCCGCTTTTAAGGATGCACGCGACGGGATGGGCAACAGCAAATGATGTTTCTTCGGTGCGTCAGCAGACGTGGTTGCAGAGTCCTCTACCGAACCCTGGGCCGGTGCGACGGACTCTTGAGCCGCATTGACGGGCTCTACATGGTTCGACGGAGGCGACGCATCGGTGGTGGCGGGCTGGTCCTGAGGCGGCGGTTCAGGATCTAACAAAGGAGATATCAGCAACGGCACTCGGAACCAACCCAAGCGCATCGGAGAATTTGATTGCGAAGCCAGGAACAACGGAGTTGAAAACTTACTGGAGTCGGGGGGACTCGTCGCGATAGGCATGAGCGCTTCTCCAGTGGTCGGTTTTGAGTTTGATGGTGAAGAATCTCGCTCTAAGCTCCCTCCGAGCATTGAGGGTAGCAGAGCGAGGTTCACTTAAGCCGACGGGGAAACCAAAAAAAACGAAGGGAGAGAAGAGTGACGAGAGAAGAAAAGAGAGAGCGAGAGAGAGATAGAGAGGAGTCGGAAGACAATGACCACCAGGGTTACCGCCGAGAAGGGGAGGGAGGGGGGTTGCGCCGGCAAGGAAGAAGAAGAGGAGAGAGAGAGAGGGTGCAGTCACGCCTCCTGGCTCTTCGCACGTACTGAATGGATGGGATGGAGGCAGGTTACTAAGGTGGTAGTACCAGTAAGTTGCTTAGCTCTGGGACCCGGACCACCGCCTTGAATAAGGCTAGTGCGCAGCACTAAAAGACTCGTTCGCAATGAGCAGATCCAATCAATCCGCACTCCAATGTCCAGAATACAGGGCGGCAGACGAGCAGAAAAGCATATGCGACCGGCACGATCTGGAAGTCAAGTCTGGGGATGATCGCAGGAATGGAAGGGTTCGAGCGTGGGAAGTGCAGGACTGTTTGAACGTAGGGGATCACGTGGTTGAGCCAGGGCGCAAGCAGCTCCTCTTGACTCGTTTGATGACCTCTTTTGTTTCTAAGTGGTACGAAGTAGTTGGTTGTAGGTAATAATGATAAAGGTTCAGGCAAGGTTAAGGCAAAGGTCACCGGCCAGACAGCCCGGTAGTTAGTTGAGTTAGTTAGTTGGAGAAGAATAATAGCTGTAACGTGAAAGATCTAGGGTATGATCGCTTGTTGCACTGGGGCTGACGGGTTGTTGGCCAGCGGGAGGGAAGTTAAGGTGAAAAGGTACTCTAAAAGAGGACCCCCCCCGAAAGTAATCTGATCGGCGGTTGATGATCGGATTCTTGTGCTGTGGGTTCGTCCCTTTCGCTTAGTCGATGGGCAAAGGAAGTGTCAAAAGTGTAGCCAGCGGCTAAGAGAGACCTTTTCGTCCCACTAGTTGGACACGGTCTGATGACGGTTTTCTACAGTCGGGATGAGCGACAGGGGAGCACGGAAGTCCAAGGGGAATCAGCCCAGGTGCGGTGGTGCTTTGATATGGTCAAGCAAGCCGGTTGATGATAGTGGAGAGTGGCTTATTCCTTAGCTCCTTGACTGGCGGCTAACCGGTTTAAGCAGGAAGAGGAAGAGGAAGAGGAAGAGGAAGGGGAAGGGGGAGGAAACTAGAGTGAAAAGAGAATCGAGAAAGAGAGGGAAATAGCAAAAGAATACGTAGAGCCCGAGGGGGGAGAGAGAGAGAGAGAGAGAGAGAGAGAGAGAGGAGAAGGGAGGGGAGGGGGAGGAGGGAGGTGGAAGTGGGTGGGCGAATACAGCAATGATGATAGTAATAAAACCAAAATTAACATTATCATTGCAATAATAATAATACAGGAATGATAATAATAAAATAAAATAGAATAATTTAAAATTACTCCATTCGTGTTGCTATGCGCTGACTTTTACGGAGGTGATGACCTTAAATTAACTGGTACTGTTAAGTACTAGTAAGTAGTAAGTAGGGACGTTGATGGTGGATGAATGCTCGGATGTGCCTTGGGGGGCAAGGGGTAAAAGGAAAAGCAGCAAGCAGACATCGGAACCCGCATGAGAAATTAGTACGGGCCCCAGGAGAAAAAGGCGAATGGAAAAAGGAACGAAAAATGGAAAAAGAAAACGCGGGAGAACACAGGCCAAGTCTGGTCTGGACCAAAAGATGCAGGGCTGCAGAATTGGGGCCAGACACCCTCAGAACTGCTGCGACTGGCTGGTCCAGCATTGGAGACGGAGGTTCAGTCTCCATTTGCAGCAGGTTCGGGCCTGATTTGACGGGAGATGCCCCGTACCTTGAAGTTTGCACGCCCTGATTACCTCCCATTGGAACCGGTAAATCAACTTACCATGAGCACCATGGTGAGCCACGCTTTCCAAACGATCCAAATTAACTATTGCACAGAGTCACAGACATGTGGACGATAAGGATACCAGCAGGATCCCCCCATACTTCATTTGATCCAGACTGATGTAATTCATGCATAGCCAGAAGCTAGTGAGTTACACGCCTACCCACAGCAGCCCGGCCCCCGGTAGAAGTAAGTCCTCTGTAGTAACTAGCCTTCGACTCGAGGTCATCCGGAACAAGTTCCGACTCGAGAATGGGCTCATGTCGTCGGGAGTATAACTACTATAGCGGTCGCACCCATCCAAAATATCAATAAAATTGGGAGAAGTCATGAAAGTCTGATTATTTTATTTTCAATTATTTTCTTTCACGGATCGCATAGCAAACCCCGAAAGTAAGTGCTATCATTGTTACCC